AAATTCGCAGGATTTTAAAACGGAGTCAGTTTTTATTTCAAATTCTATGTTGTGTTAATAGGACCCGCCTGGATTATGCCAACGGATTACTACCTATCAGGTCATCCCATAAGTTCTGTCCGAATTTTGAATAAAGAAAACAAGTGACCAAATATTACAGTTAATTACAGATTCAATCAACAATGTATTTTCCCTGATTATCTATGAAATCCTTCCATCTATTAACAAGCTTACTTATTCCATTACTGTAAAATTCTTTTGGCTTTGATTCGAAGAACTCACAAATGTCAGTTTTAACCTCTTCCTGTGTTACAAAAGCTGTTTCTTTCAAATGATTCTATAAGCTACGAAACAAATGGTAATCTGAAGGAGCAAGATCGGGAGAATAAGGTGGATGAGAATTTTCTCCCAACCAAGTTCTTCGATCTTTTGTGACGTGATTCTTGCTGTGTGGGGTCGCGCATTGTCCTGATAAAACATCACCTCTTTTCGATTCACTAGAGCAGGTCTTTTTTCCTCAAAGCTTGGTTCTAACGCTCTAATTGCTGACAGTATATTTGAGCATTAATTGTTGCATTAGGTGGTAAGAATTCAAAGTGGATTATTCCTTGGCGATCCCACCAGATTAAAAGAAGAACCTTTTGCCCATGAAGTTCCCTTATTGGCTGTGGCTGGGGTCCTTCCCCTTTACCAAGCCACTGTCTACAACGCTTAACATTTCGATAAAAGATCCATTTTTCGTCGCTAGTTACAAGTCTATCCAAAAAAGGTGAAACAAGTTGGCGAGAATGGATTGAAGAGCAGATGTCAACTCGGGATTTGAGGTTGTTTTCAGACAATTCATGATGCACCCATTTTCCAAGTTTAGGAACTTTTCCAAGTTGTTGAAGATGATAATGAACAGTTGTATGGTTTGAACTGAGAACCACTGCCAATTTCTCAACTGATAAAGCAGGATTTTCTTCAAGGGCTGCTTCAAGAAGCTTTTCATCAAACTCAATTGGACGTCCGGTCCGATCTTCATCTTCAAGGGTGAAATCTCCACCTCTGAATTTTGCAAACCATCTTCTGCAAGTTCTTTTATTCACACATTCCTCTCCATAAACTGAGTGAATGTTTCTTGCCGCTTCGACTGCTGAGTTTCCTTTCTTGAACTCATAAAGCATTATGTGCCTCAAATGATTCTTGGGTACTTCCATGTTAGCAGGGTTTTAATCAAACAAAATTTTATTTTATTGTTCTCTGAAATAAAATTTGATCAGTTTAAATGCGTCTAAACATAAAAATAATGTTCAGCTCCATTAGACATTATAAAATACTCTTTAAATTTCGTTCATTTTAACAAAAAGTTAAAATTCGGACAGAACTTATGTCATGACCTGATATATATATATATATATATATATATATATATATATATATATATCAAAGTATATAATTGGTATATACGGAATGAATTCCAATAACCAACAATTACTATTCTTAAAAGAGTGCTCAATACAAAGTAGAGCAGATATAATTATTTTTTATAAAAAATTATAACATAAGTATGTTATAAAATCACTACAAAAATAGCCATTTTGTTTCAACACACTCTGTGTCTTATCAAGTGATGATGTTGAAAAAAGAAAATAAATGGTTTTAAAAGTTTCAGATTAATTAACGATCCTACACTAGGGGAAACATTGTTACAAAAGCTAGAATAACCAATCAAAAACGAAGTATAGAAAGATTCAAAAGCTTGACAACGAAATCCTGCTATAATAGCTATTCAGATCTTTAAATACGTGTAATATTAAAATAATTTATACTAACTAATAATTATAAAATTATATGATAAAATTTAATATTAAAATTAAAACTGGCAATTTTAAAATCTAAATTTAATCACTATTAAGTTTAAAAACTACAAAATTATTGAGAAAAGAAAAAATATATATGTTTATTCAATTCATTTCTTCATTGAAATTACGTTCGACAAGGACGCTACAATATATCCGGTCATTTGACAATACATGTATATATATTTTTTTTCTTTTCCCCTTTCATTTACGTTTTTATTTTAAAGTTTGTGAATGTGGTCTTAAACTCACGCGTAAAAACAACAAAAACACAATCAGATTATAATACATAAGCACCCAGACATAATTAGATACACACACACACACACACTCACACACACACACACACTCACACACACACACACATACACACACACTAAAAAAAAAAGGAGGAGGTGGGGGGAAATACATGAACATCTCTACAGCCCTTTATGAAAAAAGGAGACGTGGAAACTAACACTAATACACACACACAGTTAAATGTAAATACACTCTACATACACATAGACACCGATAGATGCACATACATACATCCACAGACAATGACATAGACAATGAGAAATCACAACCAATAAATATTTCAGACTTAAATAAATGCTAACCATTTATTGAATTATAACAAGGAGCAAATATACAAAAGATAAAAATGGTTAAAAATAATATTATTTAATATATTAAAACGAAAATTCTAAAACCATAAATATCAATAAAATATATATTAATCATATAAGTTGATAATAGTTTTCATTATATATTAGGCAAAGAAAAACAGTATAAAGAAACACACAGCTATATACATATATATATATATATATATACAGGGACAAAAACAAATTAACACACATAAATATACACTCATACATACATATAAATACAGAAATACATACAAATAAATATATAAACATAAACATATACGCACATATACATATCTATGATAACAAGTACACATGCACGCACATATACATATAAACCTAAATACACACACATATATACACACAGACTTTTATGCACACATACTTACATATATAAAAAACAGTCATGATATACCAAAGTTTCCATACCCCCACATACACACAAACAAACTCATACATAATAGGTGCCAACACACACACATATATATATACATACATAAACATACATAAATATATATACACACATACATACATATCTACAAATAAACATATATATAAATATATCTATCTACAATAACAACTACCCATATTCACATGCATACATAAAAATACAACAACACTCAACCAAATACATATATAAACGTACTAACATATAGATACATAAATATACCTTCAAATACCAACACACAGCAATATACATATAGTCTAACATACAAATATATAAACACATTCATACAAACAGAAATATACTTAAATATAAATACACATACACAATAAAATAGGACATACAGATATATATATGCACACACATATATATATATATACACATACATACACACACACACATATATATATACAAATATATAGTGGCATAAAGCCGAAATTAGGGGGCACCCAGTGAGGAACGAACTCATTACTCAGTCGGCACTGAGGAATGTGTAGGTTGGTGTATGTGTATTTATGGTTTTTTTTTTTTTTTTTTTATATATATATATATGTGGGTGTGTGTGTGGGGTGTGTGTGTATGTATATATATGTGAGTGTGTGTGTATATATATATATATATTATGTGGGAAGGTATGGTAGATTATAAGAGAATAGGTTAATAATTGTTGCTGTATATGTGTATGTGTGTGTATATATATATGTGTGTATGGGGTGTGTGTATATATATGTATTTGTGTGTGTATGTGTATATGTATGTATGTATATATGTAAATATATATATGTATGTGTATATATATATATATGTGTGTGTGTGTGTGTGTTTGTATATATATATATGTATGCATATATATATGTGTGTATATGTATGTATGTGTGTGTATGTGTATATGTATAAATATGTATATGTATATGTATGATAAAATCACGGCAGAATAATGGTTGGCCAGCATGGTTCGCTTGATTGGGTGCGACTGAGTAATGAGTTCGTTCCTCACTGGGTGCCCCCTAATTTCGGCTTTATGCCACTATATATTTGTATATATATATGTATGTGTGTGTGTATGTATGTGTGTATATATATATATATATGTGTGTGCATATATATATATCTGTATGTCCTATTTTATTGTGTATGTGTATTTATATTTAAGTATATTTCTGTTTGTATGAATGTGTTTATATATTTGTATGTTAGACTATATGTATATTGCTGTGTGTTGGTATTTGAAGGTATATTTATGTATCTATATGTTAGTACGTTTATATATGTATTTGGTTGAGTGTTGTTGTATTTTTATGTATGCATGTGTATATGGGTAGTTGTTATTGTAGATAGATATATTTATATATATGTTTATTTGTAGATATGTATGTATGTGTGTATATATATTTATGTATGTTTATGTATGTATATATATATGTGTGTGTGTTGGCACCTATTATGTATGAGTTTGTTTGTGTGTATGTGGGGGTATGGAAACTTTGGTATATCATGACTGTTTTTTTATATATGTAAGTATGTGTGCATAAAAGTCTGTGTGTATATATGTGTGTGTATTTAGGTTTATATGTATATGTGCGTGCATGTGTACTTGTTATCATAGATATGTATATGTGCGTATATGTTTATGTTTATATATTTATTTGTATGTATTTCTGTATTTATATGTATGTATGAGTGTATATTTATGTGTGTTAATTTGTTTTTGCTCCCGTGTATATATATATATATATATGTATATAGCTGTGTGTTTCTTTATACTGTTTTTCTTTGCCTAATATATAATGAAACTATTATCAACTTATATGATTAATATATATTTTTATTGATATTTATGGTTTTAGAATTTTCGTTTTAATATATTAAATAATATTATTTTTAACCATTTTTATCTTTGTATATTTGCTCCCTTAAGTTATAATTCAATAAATGGTTAGCATTTATTTAAGTCTGAAATATTTATTGGTTGTGATTTCTCATTGTCTATGTCATTGTCTGTGGATGTATGTATGTGCATCTATCGGTGTCTATGTGTATGTAGAGTGTATTTACATTTAACTGTGTGTGTGTATTAGTGTTAGTTTCCACGTCTCCTTTTTTCATAAAGGGCTGTAGAGATGTTCATGTATTTCCCCCCACCTCCTCCTTTTTTTTAGTGTGTGTGTATGTGTGTGTGTGTGAGTGTGTGTTTGTGTGTGTGTGTGTGTGTGTGTGTGTGTGTGTGTGTGTATCTAATTATGTCTGGGTGCTTATGTATTATAATCTGATTGTGTTTTTGTTGTTTTTACGCGTGAGTTTAAGACCACATTCACAAACTTTAAAATAAAAACGGAAATGAAAGGGAAAAAGAAAAAAATATATATACATGTATTGTCAAATGACCGGATATATTGTAGCGTCCTTGTCGAACGTAATTTCAATGAAGAAATGAATTGAATAAACATATATATTTTTCTTTTCTCAATAATTTTGTAGTTTTTTAAACTTAATAGTGATTAAATTTGGATTTTAAAATTGCCAGTTTTTAATTTTAATATTAAATTTTATCATATAATTTTATAATTATTAGTTAGTATAAATTATTTTTAATATTACACGTATTTAAAGATCTGAATAGCTATTATAGCAGGATTTCGTTGTCAAGCTTTTTGAATCTTTCTATACTTCGTTTTTTGATTGGTTATTCTAGCTTTTGTAACAATGTTTCCCCCTAGTGTAGGATCGTTAATTAATCTGAAACTTTTAAAACCATTTATTTTCTTTTCAACATCATCCTTGATAAGACACAGAGTGTGTTGAAACAAAATGGCTATTTTGTAGTGATTTTATAACATACTTATGTTATAATTTTTATAAAAATAATTATATATATATATATATATATATATATATATATAATATTGGTAAATATACACATACATATGCAATCATATATGTAAAATATAAATGCCCTTCGGTTTTAGTTCCCCCACCACCCCATATCTCTCCCCCCTTTTTTTCTTTTCTTTTCCTCTCCCCTCTCATCGTCTGATCTTTAAGATTATATCGTCTATTGTGTGTGTATGTCACCACAAAATGTATCTTTCCCGGTGTATATTTAATGTATTAGACATCCGACAATATTCATATTTCTCTCACTTAAACCGTCTTTGACTCCCCTCTTTAAAACTTCTCTCTGTTAAATTTTAATCCCCCACTTCATCTTTAGACTTTCCTGTTCTTCTCTCGTCTGTTACCCCTCCCTATAGCTTTCATTTACTTTCATTCGTCCCACACTCTCATACATACACTCTCACTAAATTTTATTTTTTATTTCCGGGGTTGTTTTTTCTGTTTTCTTTTTGAATTTGTAGGTCTGATGAATTGGATCGTATTTACGATTTCAATGGAATAAATTATAACCATGGAATATTAGTGTTTAAGACTTTTTATTATTATTATTATTATTATTATTATTATTATTATTTTTATTATATATATATAAGAATGACAAACAGACTTGTAAAAGACTTGCTTGTCATCCGCTATATGTCAAGATAATTCAATATTCAACAATGAAAGCTTAACGTTGATAATAATAGTCTATATTCATGGAAAGATAAGAGGTAAAACGGAAGCAGCATTCATAACTAAAAAAATAACATTTTTAATAATTTAGTTTCTGTCAATGGATAATGTTTGTCCAAAAAAAAATAATGATAGCAGAAAAATGGCCACATAACTAATAAAACATTTTTGGCAATTTAATTTTAATATTTATTTTCACAAATAAGATAATATTGAAAATGGTGTTCGACTAATTAGTTTTTATGTAATTATTAAAAAAATATTAAACAAATTTAAAGAAAGGGCCTACCTCCATAATCCACAAGAAGGTATAAAATAGTTTGTGGATCATTAGAATGGATAAGTACGCGTAAAACGCGGGTATATTTTTCTATTTTGACACTTGATATTTTCACAATATTCTCAATGTTCTTATTTTGATCAAGTGCTGAATAATAAAAGTGATAATTATATTTTTGGGGCCATTCATTCATTTTCCCCCATACAGCAATGTTAAGGGAAGACAACTCCAGCAAAAACAGTCCACTTTTCAACAGAGGTATTTGATAGGCTAACTTTCTGTTATTCTCTTCTGTGGTGGCATGCCAGGCGTTTTTCTTAAACGTTTCACATTTCAGAACAATTTTGTACGTTTTGTCGGGATCAGGGTTCGGAATAGCATTATTTTGGTCATCTTCCAGGGAAACGTATATCATAGAAGATTGGGTTTTGTTTTCTATGCTGGGGTCCGAAATGGGATCTTTGTAACTGATCATCTGAAAAAAAAAAAGAAATCGAAAATAAATGGTGTAATTAGTCATTCTCATACAGGAAACATTCGGCATTCATTGATCAAATAGTATTACTGTCGGCTGAAATTTATAAAATCTGGTCCTTAAAACAGTTTTTTTTTTCAGGAAATTAGACTTCTCAAGTTCACTATTATAGCTCTTTCTAGTATTGTTGAGATTTCCTTCCAAGCCTTTCTTGAATATATCATTATTTTCCCTTCTATTTACATACGCTACCCATTTTTGTCGTTGTTGCTGTTGGATGTGTTCAAGTGATGTGGCTTTTGCAATTTGGTAAATTTCTTTGTGATTTTATAGCGTCAGTTGATGAGATCTGATGAAGTATAGTCTTCTTGAAGACCTTCAGGATTCATTCGCTGGAAGCCATTTTTAATCATTGATCTGAGAAAATAGTTGTATATAGCTGATAGTTTAGGCATTTGTGAGCTTAACAACTATATGAGATTCTTGATCTGACAAGGCTATTTAAGTACGTGTCACGGACATTTGTTTTGATGAGCTTTCCTTCCTGGTGCCTTGACTGCATGAATTTAAACGTACTACTAGATTGGCTATTAGGTCTCACAGTTTTACTATTCGACTAGCTAGATGCAACCGTATGTTTTATTTTAAGAGTTTCTATTCTCGCGCCTCTCACCTGTGGAAGTCTCTTCAGATTGCTTGCTTCCCTGTCATCTAATGTCTTCAAAAATTTTAATGCAACGCCAGCTGTTTTTTTGAAACCTGTTCTTTTATTGTCCGTTCTTCTCACTAAAGTCTTGCAATTTTCTTTCACTTTACCCCCCCCCCTTGCGTCTTAGTGGCATTATTGCCTTTCTCAGTGTGAAATGATTAAAAACAAGAAAGTAAAAAATATATATATATATATATATATATATATATGTATATATATATATATATATATATATATATATATATATATATATATATATATATATATATATATATATATATATATACATATATACATATACATATATATATACATATATATATACATATATATATATATATATATATACATATATATATATAAATATATATATATAAATATAATATAAATATATATATGTATAATTATATATATTATATATATATATATATATATATATATATATATATATATATATATACATATATATATATATATATATATATATATATATATATATATATATATATATATATATATATATATATATATATATATATATATATACATATATATATATATATATATATATATATATATATATATATATATATATATATATATATATATATATATATATATATATATATATATATATATATATACATACATATATACATACATATATATATATATACATAAATACATATATTAAAGACATATTTTTATGTTTAACGTTGTTATTTTATAGATACAAGTATTTAAGCAAATGCTCTGTTTATGATAAACAGTATTAAATAACATTTACCGGCCTGAATGTCCGAGAAATTTTTCATAGAAAATTTTCGTTCTTTGACAGGATTCGAGCCTGCATCCTATACGGAACCGTCATATACGCTGACGTGCCTTACCGCTTGAGCTACAAAGAATACTGTTTATACTGTTTATCATAAACAGAGCATTTGCTTAAATACTTGTATCTATAAAATAACAACGTTAAACATAAAAATATGTCTTTAATAAATAAATTGTCGGACCTTGTCCATTTCTTAATATATGACGTCATTTGTTTACATTCGATACGCCAGAGCAGTTATGAATGTACGAGATTCATGGAAAGTTGGAGTTTATAAGCAGTAAATTCGACCTTGTCTACCGATTGGTTCTTTGTAGCTCAAGCGGTAAGGCACGTCAGCGTATATGACGGTTCCGTATAGGATGCAGGTTCGAATCCTGTCAAAGAACGAAAATTTTCTATGAAAAATTTCTCGGACATTCAGAAATACTGTTTATCATAAACAGAGCATTTGCTTAAATACTTGTATCTATAAAATAACAACGTTAAACATAAAAATATGTCTTTAATAAATAAATTGTCGGACCTTGTCCATTTCTTAACATATACATATATACATATACATATATATATATATATATATATATATTTCAATTAAAAGGTGCAAATATAATTTATAAATTATATTTGCACCTTTTAATTGAAATTAAAATAACTGATCCAACGTGCAACTCTCGGATAATAAGTATGACATTACTGTAATTATTGAACAATATAGTTCATGCCATATTCACGGAAAACCTACCAGTAAAAAAGAATTCTCTTATTCCTATATTTGTACAAAAACGCAGAACCTTAAAATTTAAATTCAAACTCAGCGTTGCGACCGCACGTTCTAAAACAATAACACATTTCTCCTAGCATTTTTTTGGATTACATCTCTATTTTCGTTGTCCTCTTATTACTGAGAAGTAAAAACAAGAACAAAATCTATTTTCATACCTGATGAACAGACAAAAGCTTGTAAAAAAATTAAAAAGACCTTATGCAACTGGAATTTATAAACGGGGATCATATCATTCATATACAGGTTCGGGGTTGGTGTATCTTATTTATATTGTTTGCGACGAAGTATTCTCGCCATTTAAATCATTAACCTCTATATTTGTTCTTTGTATGAATGATTCATGAATTTATAATATATATATATATATATATGTAGATCTAATTCTTCCTTGTCTTGAAGGGTTAGTTTGTACCCTTGAATTGCCTTACTGGAGAATAACACCTTTTCTACTTATCAGTTAAACTCTAATATACGCCAGAAACGACACACAGTCGAATAAATAAAGATTATAAACTTTTTTTTGACGTAGTTTTGTAACATTCAACCTTGGTTGACTCGTAGTTCGTAGCGGTGAAATAGGTGAAATCGAACTTCTTAATATTAACGATATGCAATGTTACAGATAACTTTTATCATAGATTTCACGCTACCAAACTTTCTATTACGCCCAGTTAAGTGTTAACTGCCATGCAATATATACATAAACTATTTATCACTGTTTAATAAAGACTTTATAAATTTATTGAATTAACTCATTATACCTTAAAGTATAGTGTTGTTTCAGCTTCCTTCATAGAATCCGGGATATTTATTTCTCCATATTCTGTTTTCAAATTCAATCCATTAAGGTTTTGTGGATCTGTCTTGACACCCGCAAGGACATAATCAGTGGATGAAAAATAAAAAGTTTTCTCGTTTTTGCCCAGGATTAGAATTTGATTTGTAATTCTTAACATTGAATCAGTCAAGGCCAACTGCAATTTAAGACAATATTGATAAATATCATTAAAACGTACTAAAACTTTTACGAATCATGATTATAATAAGAACACATACACACGCGCGCGCACACACACACACACACACACACACACACACATATATATATATATATATATATATATATATATATATATATATATAGTCACTACTAAAGAAAAAGCAACTACATTGGTGTGACCAACAGTCAAGTTGTCAGAGAACCTAACACCTTAGACCAGAAAAAAAATTCTCGAACAATGAAAGAAAAAAGAATGAAAGGCAAAAACCTACCTACTCAGTAAAGTTCTCAACGCCCAGATTACTCAGACATAGAAAAAACGTTCACCAAGTCAATTTTTAACAATATATATATATATATATATATATAGAGAGAGAGAGAGATAATGTTTGACAATGAGAGTGTTGCGTAGTACATGTATTTTTAAATAATTTCTTATGTATTTTTAGTGGATTGTGAAGATTTATCGGCTCAGCCCACTTTCCAAAATCGTTGCAATTACTAAACACCAGAATATTGATTCTGGCGGGTAAGTTGAACTGAGAACTTTTCAACACTTCCTCGTATTGTAGCTTTTTCTTCAGACATTGTTCAGAAAACCTCCCTCTTTTTCTCACTCTCTCTCTTTACCTCTCACTCTCTAGATTAAATAGATTGAATATAGAGAAGGATTAGATTGAATAGATAGGTATGATAGACTAGATTAGATTGAATAGATTATCTATCTAAGCAATCTAATCTGTAGATTGTATATAGTGTATAGGAAAGTTTAGATTACATAGATTTGAATAGACTGAGTAGATAGACAAGATAGGTTACATCGATTAAATTAGATATATTAGATTGGATAGACAGGATAAATTAGGTCGATTAGATTAAATAGATTAAACTGAATAGATTAGAGAAGATAAATATTGGGATTACCTTCAAATCATCATTTGTTTGGGGAACATTGCTTGATAGATTAGCGACATCTGGAAGAATCACAATTTCAATTAATAAATAGTATTCCTGTATAATTTTGAAAAAACGAACATTCCTATAAAATTGTAACCAATTTAGTTTTAGAGGCATTGAATGTAACTAGCCATTTTCCCTACTGGGAAGTTAGTGTTAGATCGGAAGAGAGATCAGCTGCTAATCTTTGATCGTCAAGAGTTTTAGAGGTGCGTCCTCATATCGTCGTATCATCGACATAGACGTTTACAAATGATCGGAGTATATTCTTAAGTAGATCATTTATATAAATCAGAAAGAGGTTTGATCCGAAAAGTGACCCCTGGGGGACATCTACATAGACAGCCAGGTCCTCGGAGGACGGGTCGTTAATACTACCTACAGAGATCTACCTGTTAGGAAGGCCTCAATAATAGAAAAAAAACCTTCCATTGATTCCATGGCTGGAGAGCTTGTGCAGCAAACCTTTGTGTGACACCTTGTCGAAGGTCTTCAAGATATCTAATGCTATGGTCCTTGCGGTGTGTGTGTCGCCAAGGGCTTCACTAATTCTCTGTCATAGTATTTAGAACGTCAGCAATGGATCTGAATAATCAAAATTGATACTACTCGTCGCACAAGAGGTTGTTCCTATCTAGATGCTCGACGATTTCCTTTGACTTTTCAAAATATGCATCTTTATATTTAACTTAAATGCGAATGTTTCCATAGAATTTAAATGACGTCACCTTGAATGATTTGAAATTGTTTCCAGTAAACATGAAAACATCGGAATTAAATATAAACTTTGGTAAATTTACCGATTAAAACAACGAATTCGAAAATTTGAGAAAGTCACACACACACAAACACACACACACATACATATATATAGTTAAACCGTCAACTGAAATACAATTCAGCCCAACGCAGGCCAACGTTGATTATTATTATTAGTAGTAATAGTAGTAGTAGTACAGTGCTCAATTCCTTTAGATAGAGCCACATAAAGGAAATAAATCAGTGGAGAGTCATGACTGTCAACGGCCTAAAATATTTTTAAAAAATCATTCATTCGTTTCTATATTTCAAATATTCGAATTTGAGATTTCTTATTTTTGCCGTAAAGTTGGTTTTAATAATTCTTTTAATATCCCCAGTTAAAATCTTAAATATAACATTCACAAAAAGAAAGCAGGTTGTGAATGGACTTGGTCTTGTAAACTAAAGAAACTTACCTTCCAGGATCAGTGGATAATCTACTTCTGAATAATTCGCTTTAATTGCACAATTTATCAAATTACGAGTTGCATTTATTACAACCTGAAACAGATTTATAATACAAAAGAAAGGGATTTTAGTTTTAAAGTTATAATTAAAGTTATAATTTTCTGATAATGTTGTTATTTTGTAAAATGATTTGAAAATCTTTGATTGGTTTTGAAATCATTTTTCGTATAAGAATCGAGACATCATTTTTGGTTTTCGATGGTTGAATGAAAAAAAAGAATTAATAAATAATACATGTGGTACGTCGGGTTGGATTGAAATAAGTGGATGCCATAAGCGGGAAAATATTTAGGAGCCCCAACACCTGCTCACAAGAAACCTAATGAAAATTAAAAAGACATAAACGTAGGCCTACGCATAGAACAACGAATCTATCATCGATCCAAAACACACAAAGAAAGAGAATTGATTTCTTTTTTATAGCCTATCAATCTTTTTTATAGCCTATCAATCTTTTTTATAGCCTATCAATCTTTTGCAGGTTTTTTAAAGCCAGAAAATATTTTTACACTGTAAGAATTGTTTGGAGATAATAATGAGTTACTGATACAAGTCTCACTAATTAACCCATAGCTGGGTAGAGAAGAGATAAATTCATAATATTCTAAATTTAGTACGGAGTTACGGACAGTGTAACTGTAACAATCACGGAAAGTGTAACCGACGTGCCGCGTTCAATTTCGGTCGTTTCGTACGTTTCACGAAAATAATTTGGAAACGGTATTTGCGTGAAATCCCTATTCCCCCGCCTATGGATTAAATAGCAGGGCAAACTGGAATCTCTCACCTTGAAGTAGCAACTGATCTAGGACAAGGAGAACTCTTAATTAAAAGCCAACCTGAAGACTGATTATCTCCGTCATGCTATTAGACACGGCACGATACGCACCAGTGCTGATATGGTTGCAGTACATGCAAACGCGTGACGTGATGTAAATACGGGGTCCTTTGGAATATGAGACCCTGGAGCTGCAGCACACTTTTTACCCGTCTCAAAATCCAACACAGGTGGTGTGTATATTGGTTATTCGCTATATGCTTATACCTCAACTACACCAGTGAGACGTGAAGTCACATAGATGACATGAATGAAGATCTCAAGGTTAGATATAGTTGAATGTTTAGTTGATTTTTGCCGAATTTGGTTGTTATTCACGTGTCTAAACAAAATTAACAATCAAAATCATGGCTTGTGTTACTTTAATGGGGAAAATATTAAAACATACGTGGGATCCAAAGACTCCCGGCAGAATGTTTTCCCAATCATTACAATATTGACCTCTTCAAGACTAGAGTTAACTGTTACGTTTCCTGCATAGCCTCATGGGCCTTTTCCCTTTTCATACGCTCATACAAAACCGCAGATTAACCATCTACCTTGAGTAGCTCTTGGTCCCTGTATTGGGTGAACATTGGTATACAAATACATCAAAGAAATCGTCTCATTCTTCTTATTGTTCCACAGAGTAAAGGAAATTATATGACAGCTGTAAAATGGTTTGGCACCTTTTATATATATATATATATATATATATATATATATATATAATATATATATATATATATAGAGAGAGAGAGAATTAGAATTAATGCGGAGAAACTCATCACTTAATTGACAAGAGCGATAGGGGAAGGAAGCGAGACACTTACCTGACGAGCTTGTGTGAATGGAAGGCGGAGCGTGAAGTGAGAGGCTCGGTAAAGGGAGAAAAAACTGCTAAGAGCCACACGAGATAGGAAGTTGTGGAGAGCTATAACCGTTTATGTCCTGAAAGGTCGCAGAACATACAAGAAGTTCTTTCCAGGCATCTTTTTAACTACTCTTTGACATGTTTCTCTGGTTACATTAAAAAGTATAAGTTTAGTATGCTAAAACGTATGACTTACCTGTGTTTCATGAGATGTGAGATTTGTCATATACGGGGTGAGATCTTGGAGAAAATTTCTTACAGTTGTTTGATCAGTCTGCGAATCAATTTGCTGGATTTTGGTCAAAATACCGGTTTTCGACTTTAATAAAAGACAATAATATTGCAATATAAGGAAGTATTAAAACAATAATATTGCAATATAAGGAAGTATTAAATCTATAATAATATTGCAATATACGGTTTGGTTTGGTTTATTTTATTTTACGGCATATCAACCTCGATGGGTTATTTAATGCTGATAAAAAATTTTATTACTGATAATATTTTGTTTTGTCAAAAATCCGTTTCTGGTAATATATTTCCTTCAAAATTGTATTGCTGGTAATAATATTTTCAAAAAAGTATTGCTGGTAATAATTAATTATTTGACCATAGCTGAGACCCCTAACAGGTGCTACCACCCCGGGTCAGGGTGGACCTGGGAACACCAGCAATTAAGAGGTGGTTCCACGCTCCTCAAAACCTCCTGATCAGAGGCCTTGCTGCTGGACGTGGTTTAACGTCTTACCCAGGACGCGGATGTAGTTTAACGTCTTACACAGGACGATGCAATATAAGGAAATATTAAAACAATAATAATAATGCAAATAAGGAAGTATTAAATCTATAATAATATTGAAATATAAAGAAATATTAAATCAATAAGATAATATACAAGATCATTTGGATGGTGTTTAAAAGTACTATTTAACACTTTTAAGTCAGATCACATTTAGTTTCATTCAGCTACTATAAAATAAGCCTGTCGTTTCAAATAAGCGTTGAGCCAGAAATTACTTTTTATATTTAAGTTAGCACTATTGGGACATAAACTCCACTCAGAATTCAAGTGAAATATGTACATACGATCCATTACTAAAGATGCTAGAAATAGAAAAATGGTCGGATCCCTATATCGCTCCAATAAATACCTGACTTTTCCTGCTATCTTCTAACTTTACCATAACCAGATCAGACCGAAAATGGAGTATTGTTGTCATAAATGGACAGGAGCTGTCCAGTTTTAACGTTCTAGTCTCGATAGAGTCTAACGGCGTCTCCCTGTTCTTGTGAGTGACACATTATTTTCCACCCTACAACCACTTTCTCACGGGCAAAACGTCGCAAGCCATCGCTATTTCCATGAAAAGTTTTCGGACTAATTACATTCCTTAGTTCAATCAGTTTAATCTTCACGGCTAAATCCCACCGTGCTACGCACATTGTAACCAACCAGCCTCATTCCTTTCGAATTCCATTGGTGAGATGTAAATTCCACTTAAGCAGCTTCTTCCCCACGAACCGCTGCTTTGTGGAACCGACTCCCAAGAGGATGCTTTCTCAATGACTAAGATCTTAACCTTTTCAAATTTAGGGTTAACGTACCTTCCCTGTAACTTTTCTATAAATAATTTCATGGTAATTGTTCTGATGAACTTTCCTCTATGATGCCTAGACTTTATGAATTTAAGCGCGAGAGAGAAGAAGCTGTTAGCATAGGACTTACGGTTACATCTATTTCAATTGTAAAATGCCGAGTGTAAAAGAATATGAGAAAAAGAAAGCTTTATTAAGGAGAGAGAGAACAATAAAAGAAATGGAATTAAGAAGATAGAAAATAACGACTGACATTACATTTAAATTTTTGAAGATTTCTGTTGACCAGAAAGTAAGAAGTCGACGAGGCCCTCATTATATTACAATTGAAATGGCTAGATGTACACGTAGGCTAACGGTTTCTTCTCTAGCATTTCTGGACTGTGGACCTCTCTTCCGGCTCCTTACTTTCCGGTCAACATAAATCTTCAAAAATTCAATCGTTTTCTTCTATATTCTTAATTGCGTTTCTTTTATTGTTCTCTCTCTCCTTAATAATGCTTTCTTTTTCTCATATTCTCTCACACTTAGCAACCCATTGTCTTAGTGGCTTTATTGTCTTGCTTGCGGTGAAATGATTACAAAAGGGGAAAATTATACCTTGGTTCTAATGCCATGTTTACTGCTTCTACTACATCTTTTTTTTTTTCTAATCGTATCCTACGCTGCTAACTTTTCCTTATCTTCCCCCTGTGTATCTTTGCACCATCCCCAAGGAGCTGGAACCGTATACTTAGAGAAACGTAGGTCTATTCAGATAAAATAGAAACTAAAGAATTTAATTGCTATCATCCATGCGTGTTGTCAATATAATGAAAATACTAACATTTATTATTGAAAGTAGTTTCGCTAAATAGAAACGCTCTACAAACAAAAACTTGGAAAGGGAACCTGATTCTGGAAATTTCCTGTTTTGATTTCCGGTTTTTCCGTCATCATTTGACTCAAAGGGAACATGAATGTTGAAGCATTAATAACCTCTGTTGATATTATTCTTGCAGCATGGCTCGTCAAACTTGTTGTCTTAACCGTGATCGTAGATGCGAAGTCTGTGATGGTTTGGCGTTCTGTGCTAGGATCTGCTTCATTGGTCGATAAGGTGGAAATCGTTTCATCTGTAGTCACTGATTATCGGTTTGTTCCAAATTGAAGCAATATTTCAGCAAGGAAAATAAAAGAAGAAATCAGAGAGAAAAAGAGAAAATAATACAAGTAATATAGAAATATAATGTATCTAGCAAGACAGCTACCGCGCAATTAGTCACGCGCAAAGTGAACAAACGAAAACCTAATCATCTCAACCACAGCAAAATTATCGCGACGGTTAATATAAAAGTAATATCACTGAGTATAAACCATAAGAGTAACATTTGTGCCTTGATATTATTCAGTTTAATGATCAAAGTTAGCATT